CTGATAAAACTTGGCCAAACTTGGGTTTTTGCTGTGTTACCGAAAAAGCCAGAGATTGCCTTGAAGTTCAAATCCGCTCTTATATTGATGCCATATCCTTGTTGTAATTCTAGAGCTTGTGTTGGCTTGTTTGCTTAAAGCCAGCTTTGGCAGGCTGACGGACCACGGAGATTTTTCTTTTTGCTTCATATTGTTCTCAGCGTGGTGGGCCACGCGGAGGACGTGAGAGACCAGTGATTATCCAGTTTGAGGAGATGTTTGACTGTATACAGACAGTTAATTCTTTACCACCAATGGGAATTTTTTTCCAAAGATCATTGTTTATTGTGACATATAAGTCTTTTCTATTTATGTTTGTGTGGGATGCACGCATGGCATTTGTAGGATTCACGTTGCAAACCGCAGCAGAATCAATTCATCGAAACAGCCTGGTCGCCTCCTCTGGGAAGACTCCCATCATTTTTCTGAGCTGAATAAGGCTTATATAAGCCTCTCTGATAGTCATTTATCTGTGGTTCCCAAGCTGCTGCAATTTGGATTCACCTGGGAATATTTTTTTAAAAAGCGCTGATGCCTGGCTCCTACTCCCAGGCATTCTGGCATAATCGGTCATAGATACAGCCTAAGCATTAGGAAGTTTTAAAGCTCCCCAGGTAGTTCTAACATACAGCCAAGTTCGAGAACCACTGTATTATATTTCTGATTGTTAGTTTACTCTATATTGGGCCAAGGGATTACACCATGTACCGTCCGTAGCATGTAACATACGCTTGGCATGTTACAGCCGTTCGGGGAATTAAACAATTAAACACGTGAGCATCCGTTGTACAAATATGGGAAAGTTCATAGCACTGCTGGTGAAATCACCACAGTGTTAGGAGAAGTCCACAGCATTCACTATTGATTGCTTCCAAATAGAACGTTTTCATCTGTACAACTGTTCAGAAAAAGACTTCTGATTCAGTCTTTGGTTATAAGTGACTCTCCCCCACTGGAAAGGCTTTTACTGACCTTTTTATAAAATGTCTCAGGATTTTGAGGTCTCTCCCCTTTCAGGTGCTTTGCCAAAGATGCTTGGGATTAGATTGCCTGCAGTTCTGTTTCCTCTCTTTGGGAGGGAGAGATGCTGGATGCTCTCAACATATCAATTCGAAGCAGCGTATTTATGGAAATTACACCCACTTCTAAAATTTAGGAGGCAGCTCTGACAGCTGAGTCCAGCCCTAGCAGAACTCTATTTACAACTTTGCTAAACGAGCCAGATTAACTGTTCTACATGAGCCAGTGGGACGTTAAAATACGCTCTCCCCACACTGCACGCAACTCAGGGTTGACTGTCGTGGTGATGACCCAGCTTGGTCTCTTGAGGGGAAGTAAAGACACACAGATAAAACCAATCAGAAAGTTCTGGGAGGCATTTAGGGACGTACTCACTCCCATTGATATCTAGGAGTGTAAGTTGACACAGCCCCTCTAGAAACAACAAAATAACCATACCTTTTGAATTAATGATTCTACTGAGAATTTATCCTAAGGACATAGTCAGAGATGTGCTGAGATTGGCTACAAAGATATTCATCATGATGGAATGTTTTGTGGGAAAGAATATTTATTGACAGTGAAACAAACTCATGACACAGTAAGTTAAACAAAGTTGCAAACAGAATCTACAGTGTAATTCCACTTTTTAGAATAAACCAAAAGCATTTACATTCATGGTGAAATGTTTTGAAGGACAGATGCCGAGATAACAGTAGTTTTTTCCAAGTGAAAGGATTCTGGGTAATTCTGTATGGGTTTGTTTTCTTAGATTTTTTTCTCCCCCCCCCCTCCGCCCCACCCAGGGCTCCAGAAGCTTTTAATTTTTTAACTTCTTTGAAATCAGGCTGTGTCTCACAAGCACTCATGGATCATAATTTAATTGGCAGTACCCTATCTTTCTTAAATGATAATGTGGAATAACTGTGCATCTTATAATCAATGGTGGCTCAGGATCAGTGACACCCAGTAATGACAGTAGTTAACAACGGCAGTAGCAGTATCTTGGGTTTTTTAAAGATTGAAATGTAGTTCATGTCCAATATTGTGGAAGTGTACACTAGATGTACACTATTCACAGTTTTTAAAGTTCATGTTCCGTTTATAGTTATAAGATGTTGGCTCTGTTCCCTATGTTGTATCCTTGCTGTTTTTAGTCCTTCTTGTTGTTGTTAAGTTGCTAAGACATGTGCAAGTCTTTGTGACCCCAAAGACTGTACCCCTGCAGACTCCTCTGTCCATGGGGTTTCCTAGGCAAGAATCCTAGAGTGGGTTGCCATTTCTTTCTCCAGGGAATCTTTCCCAACCCTGAGATCAAACCGCATCTCCTACGTTGCAGGTGGATTCTTTACCACTGAGCCACCATGGAAGCTCCTTGTAACCTTGTAGCTTATTTTGTATTGTTTCCCTAGATTTTTAGCCAACAGTGGTATATCATTTTGTACTGTTTTCTTGTGGATGCTATTATGACTCATTTGCCTTCGGTGAAGCCGATTAGCTTAGTGTGAGGCATCCTTTTGTATCTGTAGCTTGATAGCTGATCTGATGAGCTTTTGTGACATCTTAAATGGTGACCTTCCTATGCAACATGTGCTGCGATTGTGCCAAGCTACCTAGGGAAGACTATACTAGATTTATCTGCTAGACCTGCGCAGCACTAATGAATTCATTCCAAGATTCTTCTGAATTATGAAAATACTATAATTATAGTTGATTCTCTTCCAAAGGGATAATTAATTACTTTTAAAGGAAGCAAATGAGTATTTGAAAGCTATTTGGTTTCTAATTTTACCATTTAACAACTTAGAGGGGCATTTGGGGCTTGGAATGAAGACAGAGAAGGAAAAGTGGAAAAGCTCATGTATTAATTCATTGAATATTTATCGATTACCCACCTACAATGTGCCAGAACCTCTTCTAGGCCTGGAGCAGAGTTGTAAACAATTCATCTAAGTTCCTTGGTTTTCCCAGATCCATACTTGTGGGGTAGCATGGGCAGAATATAAAATGGTGTGCACAGACATTCTAAATTTAGACTCTAGGGTGTTGTAGAAAATAAAATGAGATACAGTGACCAAGAGTGGGAAGGGGTCTTTTATTTAGAAAAGCCGTCTGTGAGGAGCTGACATCTGCTCTAAGATGTAGGAGAGAAGAGCCACGAGACGTATGAAGTTCTCAGAATTTCCAGATACAGAGAATGCTTAGTGTAATACCCATAAAATTGACACCAGAGTTCGGCCTGTTCAAGGGATGGAACAGAAAGCAAGTGTTTAGAGGTCAGTCAAGGAGGACGATCATTGCATACAATGTCATCACTAAGGCACCATATCAGGAACAGCCTTGCTAAACACATAGCAAGGAGTTTGCTGTCACCAGTGACTGTTGGAGGGCTTTGTGGGGGTTAGGGAGAGGATTGGTCTTAACTTTGCAGCAGCTGTCTTGACTGTGGGTTTGCAGAATGGACCCGAGGCTAGAAGAGAGCGGGCCCGGGAGCCCAGTGCAGAGGCTTCTGCAGCAGCTGAGGTGGGAGATGCTGGCTGATCGCTAGGCTAGCCTGGTGGTAGGATCTCAGACAGGGATGGTTGAGCAGTACGTGTAGGAAGGAGGGCTGAGTTGACTTGCTGAAAGTTGGGCTACAAGACAATCCAGTCAATAGAATAGCTGGTCTGGGAGATGATGAACAGTGAAACAACGGGAAGTTTAATACTCTGAGAAATATACTGAATATTGTAAAGTGGTTGGACCTTGGAAGATTCTGGAACATTATTTGACCACTTTCAAGTCACTCTCTTCCCTACTTCCATCATCCTTTATGAGCAGTTTTGCCTGTAATAGATATAGGGCCTGTTTTGCTTTGATTTTGAACATAAATCTGGGGGGTGGGGATGGGAGAATACTGGGGGGTCGAAATTCTGTAAGTTTGTATTTCTCATGGATTTGGGATGGTTAGATAATGAGATAGGGGTCCCCTGTTGGTAAATCTGGAATAAAGAACAGCATCAGTCTGAGCCATTATTAATGCAGTGCCGTGCTCTTCAAGCATTGCTTGTCCATTCAGTCACCCAGCGGTTTGGTTCAGATGCAGATCTGACTCCACTGTGGCTCGGTGGTCAAGAACCCACCTGCCAGTAACTAGAGACAGGAGATCCAGGCTCAATCCCTGGTCAGGAAGACCCCCCGGAGGAGGAAATGGCGACCCACTCCCGTATTCTTGCCTGGGAGATCCCATGGACAGCGGAGCCTGGCGGGCTGCAGTCCAAGGGGCTGCAAAGAGTCGGGCATGGCTGAGCGCGCGTGCACACACACTGACTCCATGGGCTTGAGCTGGACCCTGATGACCTCGCTTTCTAATTGGCTCTGACGTGATGCTGATCTGCTGGTCCAAGGGGGACCCTGAAGAGCAAAGATCTCGCCCCCGTTTCTGTTCGTGACGCTCGGCTCTGGCCCCGCGCCACTGTCGGACGGATGGCTGGCTAGGGCATTGTCTTCCTTTGCCTTGAGGAGACTTACTTTTGGTTAAGTTACTGCAGGGTCAAGCAGGTCATTCCTGAGACTCTTAAATAAACCGGAAGCTGGTGGAACAGGAGTGGAAAGAGCCGGGGTGTGCGCTGTGAGCATCTGACTTTGTGTCCTGGCTCCACCACCGCCCTGTCGGTTTGGGGTGAGTCACTGCGTTCCTCTGAGATGCTGCCTCTCTTGAGGGTAAAACGGTGATAACATGACCTCCCTGTCGGTGCCGAAGCGTTCTGCCAGTGAGAGAGACGTGCCGGATTGCTTTGTCAACCGCAGAGACTCACGTTAGAGGTAGATTGCCCCTGCGGTGCCCACCCTGACAGCTGGTCTTGTGGGCCTGTCCTGGCGATGTTATAGCTGAAGTGGGGGCGGAGGCCTGTGAACCCACTGGGGAAAAAGTAATAAACTGTGTTTTCTCGCCTTTCTCCTCCTCCGCCTCTCCGCCACAGCGATTGAGACCCAGAGCACCAGCTCCGAGGAACTGGTCCCAAGCCCCCCGTCTCCGCTCCCGCCGCCCCGCGTGTACAAGCCCTGTTTCGTCTGCCAGGACAAGTCATCGGGGTACCACTATGGGGTCAGCGCCTGCGAGGGCTGCAAGGTGAGTGCCAGCCCAGGCCTGGGACGCCTCGACATCTGTCCCGGCCTCTCCAGTCAGCCTGGAGGCCTGGGCTGTGTTTGATGGTTTCATTTCTTCCTTATATAGCTCATTAGTTAAAAATGCAGAAACTTCTCCAGATGACTGATGGAAGCCAAATGTTCCAGGGCCCTCAAAATAACCCATAGCAGTTCTTTTCAGGTAACAAGAGCCTTTTGAAGGCATCCCGAAAAGCATCACCCTATTTCTCTTTAGAACAGGCCGTCTGGTGTCTTTGTAGTTTTATTTTATTTTTAAATATGACTGACAGTCCCCTGAATCAACTTGCAGAGAATCCAAGGTTGAAGTTGGGATTTATCCTCTGGCTCTTTCCTCAGCCCTGTGGCCTTTGAATTACAGTTTGATTTTCAGCCTGTGGGGACTTGCTACTGTGTGTTTGTCATAAATTCAGGGGAGCTGGATTTAAAATTCCAGCCTACGGAGTCGTGGAGGCTGAACATGTGTCAGAGACTCTATGGCTGCTTTGAATCAAACTAGACAGTTGTAATCGAGTCCAACAGGCTTAATTGAGTGAAAGAGCTTCTTACTTTTTTTTAAAGAGAGAGAAGAAACAAAGAATGACTTCATAGGCAGATCCAACTCACCCACAGACAGTCTTTCAAAGGATTTGTGTCTGTCTTGAAGCCCTTCGCTAGATACACGGCTTAATTCCCGTTCTCGCTGGTGGCAGTTCAGGTGTGTTGTTTAATGTGGAGAATTACAGCCCCCCCGGCCCCCCAACTCCCCACCCCGCAGCCCCCCAGGTGCTCCAAGGCATTTTGTCTTTGGCTGATAAGAGTGAGTACTTACTTTGTGCTCGGGGTCTGTGACAAACCACCCTGAAATGGCATGGCTTTGAGGCCACAGCCTTTTCTTTGGTTTGCAACTCATGGGCCAGTGCTCTCGGCCAAGTTCCTCTGGCGGCGCTCGCGTGGACTGGATCAGCTGCAGGTTAGCCGGCTGGCTCTGCTTCTGAGGGTGCTGTCCGTTGAGGGGTGGGGGGCTCCCTTCCCGATGGGCTGGCCCCGGTTATTCTCACGGGCAGGGTTCCAGAAGAGGGCACCAGGCTGCTCAAGGCCTCTGGAGGCCCACAGGCGCAGGCTCTGGCTCCTGACACGCTCTGGTGTTGGCCAGAGCAGGTCGGAAGCCCAGCCTGTTAACACAAGAGGTGGGAACATAAACTCAACCTCTCAGCCCAAGGAGTGGCCAAGACACAAGATGAGAGGCGGAAACACGGAGGAAGGACCAATGGGGTCTTTGTGCGTTGTGTCTACCACACTGCATGTCTGCTGGCCTGGGATACATGAGGGGGGACCCGGGACCCCAACCGCAGCTGTGCCTCACCCACAGCTGGCCTCCAGAAGAGCCACATGAGCAAACACCCAAGCATCAGCCCTGAGAAGAGATTAGATGACCCTTCCTTCCTTCTCAAGTCATTTGAATAAGCATGTATTCGTTTGCAGGGTGAGGCCCGCCTGGGGAAATTCATTACAGCCTGAGGGATATCTCTTTCTCTGGGATCATGTTGGCGTGAAAGGAAGGCCACTTCCTCCCGCAGCCTTAGATATGGTGGGCACGGCAGTGAGCATGGCAGCCAGCTGGCAGCTGGGTGGAAAGTGAAGCTTTTTGCTTCGAAGTACTGCTGAATGTTGGTAACCCCTCGCTGAACCTACTGAAATTTATCTTGAGATTTGGGAAGGGTTCAGAGAACCCCAGTTTCTTCTGTCCAAGTGTTGTGTAATGCTTAAATACATCATTTTCTAGTGCTCGTTTGAAAGTTAAATGAAAGGACACTCCTTTATTTCAAAAAAACTTTGTCACCTTCTGTCCAGAAGCCTTCATGAGGGCTGCTGTAACTCCGCTCACCTGCTCCCTTTCTGCCCTGGGAAAAGAAATGAGCGCGCGTGTCTTGTGCCAGATCCAGGGCCCTGCCCACGTGTTAAGCTGTTTCACAATCTCTGAAGGACAAGTTGTTTCAATCAGCTCTTAGTCAGCTAGTTCTCTGACCTCCTGCACAGGATTCTGACTCTTTTTAGGAAAAACCCCAACACAAACAAGCCCTGGACCAGTACAAGCAACTTTGATGAGCTTGGGAAAGCTGTTCAGAGTCCTGCTGGGGTGTATCTTTTCAGTAAGGAACGGTTGTCCAGCCAGTTGCCCAGCTGAAGGATTAAGCCCACCATAGCTTTAGACTACGGGTGGTTCTCTGAAAGCGTGGGCTGCCTTGCCCCCTGCTTGTTGAGAAAGACTGGTCTGCATTTTGGCTTGCTGGGAAGATACAGTGACAAAATTCATAGAGCTGAAAAGCTTAAGAAGCCAAAAGTATGATGTAACCACCAAAGAAAAAATATATAACTTTAAAAAATGAAATATAACTTTTGTTTTCATTTTAAAAATGACTAGTACAGTGCAGAGTTTATTGTATTAAAAAAAATAGAACATTAACCAGTGTTCTACCCTGGGAGAGAAACCCCTGTTAAACCTGTTTTTCTATTAGTTATATGCATGTTGTTATTTTTTTTTTTTCCCACCAGAATAGAATTTTATATTGTACACTGGTTTTGACTTTCTTTTTAAATTTAATAATCTTTCATGACCAAAATGTAAACAACTGCATAGTTTATAAGGCTATACTGTTAATGTAGTGGTTTATGGTACATCACAATTTATCTAATGAATCCCCTATTGTACAACTGAGGTATTCCTGGTGTTTCTCTACTATAAATAATGCTTTGGTAAATAGCCTTCTTGTTTATCTCTGATAATTTACTTAGGATAAATTAGTAGAGGTGGAATTTCTAGGTCAATGGCTCTGTACATTTTTAAGGCTTAAAGTGAAAGAAAGTATAAGTGAGGTCGCTCAGTCGTGTCCAACTCTTTGCGACCCCATGGACTGTAGCCTACCAGGTTTCTCCGTCCATGGGATTTGCCAGGCAAGAGCACCGGAGTGGGTTTCCATTTCCTTCTCCAGGTTTAAGGCTTAAACAAATTGCCAAAATGCCTTCTAAAAGACGTTTATCGGTGTCAGCTCTGTCAGTCTGATAGAGTTAATATTACTGAAGACTATTAGGACTCTCTCCCTTGTAATAATAAGGTAATGAGTCAAGAAACAGCTTCTCAAACAAACCACAGTTTGGTCGTTTATAACAGGCCCCCTGCCTGGTGCCGTTTCGGGCTCCCAGCAGGCAGACCCCAGGGGCCCCCAGCTGACCTGTAAGAGTGGGCCCACCCTTTGCCTGGAGATCACGGATCGAAGCTCTAGACTAGAAGCCCTTGCTGTAAAGTAGGATTCCCAAACAGAACCCAATTCATATCTTGAAGAAGGAGTAGCCACAGTGACTCCTGCCTGTCGTGACCAGAGTAACCTTATTGACTATTGTTTCGGGGGAGAGAACCTCTGTCTCCCAAGGGGCCAAGTGGCAGAATCGGCCTCAGAAGGTGATGAATGGGCCATGGGCTACCTCTGGGAATGGCCAGAGGCTGTGTGTTGACTTGGCATCACCGTGGCAACGTAACCACTAGCTGTCCCACAGGGATGTCCCGTTTAGGGGATTTCCAGCTAAGCATTGGCAAATTTTTACAGGGGACAAAGGGTGCATAAAATTTTTACAGGGGACCAAGAGTACATAAAATGAACATGTGGTGTAGTTAGCTGAGGAGGCGTAACAGTATAAAGTTGTAAAGCTGATTTTTCAGCTGTCTTTAAGAAACAATTCCATTGCTCGTAGCTAGAATTTGTGTGAAGTTTTGACCTTCATCACATTTTATATTTGCATACTTGTAGCTTTCAAAGAGCATGGGATCTAAAGTGAGAAGACCAGGATTTGACTCCTAGCTAGGTTGCTTTCTAGTTTTGTGACCTTGGGCAAGCATCTTTAATTCTCTCTGTCTCTCTCTTTTCTCAGTGGGAAAAACGGAGATAATAAGATCACCACCTTGTAATACTGTTGTGAATATAAAATGAGTTACTATGAAGCATGCACTTGGCACATCGTAAGGAGTGTATATGCTTGCTTATTGTTGCGTACTGTCATTAACGTATTATGGTGTCTTTTGCACACAGTCCTGTAACGTCGGTTATGATCCTAGTATTCTTTCTTGTAATGTTCTTTCAGAAGTTCCCTGTTCCCTTGTACACAAGTAAACACTGCCTCTTTCCTTCAAGACTTAGGTTAAGACCTAGCCAGTACTTGGAACCTCCACTGATTACACTCGGACAGGAGTTGGCACATTGATTCTGTAAAGAGGAGACAGTAAATATTTTAGGCTTCAGAGGCCGTATGGTTTCTGTTACAGCTACTCAACTCGGCCGTTGTTGCATGAAAGGAGCCATAGACAATATGTAAATAAATAGGCCTGGCTATGTTCCAGTAAAACTTTATTTACAAAAACAGGCCGCAGACCATGTTTGGCCCTTCGGCCTAGTTTCCCGATCTCTGCAAAAGTACATGGTGATACGTCGTATCTTGCGTGTGTGCTTAGCCGCTCAGTCATGTCTGACTTTGCAATCCTATGGACTGCAGCTCACCAGGCTCCTCTGTCCATGGGGTTCTCCAGGCAAGAACACTGGAGTGGGTTGCCATGCCCTGCTCCAAAAGATCTTCCAAACCCAGGGATTGAATGTCTCCTGCATTGGCAGGCAGGTTCTTTACCACTAGTGCCACCTGGGAAGCCCATCCAGTTTCTGACACTCAGAAGCTGATGGCCCAAAACATTCATGCCAAAGGTGGCATCAGCTCTTTCTAGTGGACTGTGGGCCTAGGACAACTGCGTCCCTTTCCTGCCTGCACAGTCTCCATGGCAACAGCTTCAGGACCACTCTTCCTATCTGTTCCTCCACCCCTTATCCCCACTCAGCTCCCACCTCCTTATCGCCCAGAGCCAGAGATGAGCAGTTTCCTTATAAGTCAGCTACTTCCAGAAACACCTGGTTTGCTTTGGAGACGATGGGATATATTTTATAA